CTTACATCTAGTAGTTATGCCGGACAAAATTATTGGAAAATGACTAAAATCAAAGGTAACCGACATCACAGATTTCTTAGTAAGTAAATGTCTGTAAGAACTTATCAAAGTTTGATGATTTGTGGAAAGTTTTATTAATATTTTCTGGAAGATTTTATGACTTGGAAAATACACCTCTCAAAAACAGTTCTTGCTGTTTCCATTTGAGTTGAAGTTAGTAAATCAAATACACTGTGGAAATGTTTTGCCTTTAAAAATTCTTTGCATATATAACTGATGACTTGATATTTTAAAAATTGCATGTATTTTATTTGCAAAAATTCAAAGTTTCATAAATAACTGATATTTAGCAATCTTTATAAAGTAAGTTATTGTGAGAAACTATTAAAGTGAGGGATCCTTAAAGAACACACCACAATTTGAATATTAAAATAGATAATATATAAACATGATCAAGGATATTACTAAATTCTTTTTTAAGGATTTGTTTCTCAAGAGTCAAGGTAAAATTACTAAATTATTTATGTGAGCAATGAGCAAATAAATTCTAATTATATACAGAATAAAAAAACTACACATGAAGCTTCCTAAACAATCTAAACAATGTTTAAAAAACACCATTAAGTTTTGATGTGTACATTTTCTTTAAAACTTTTATGTTAAGTTGAAGAGCTTTTCATTGTATCTCCCAGTTTCCAGTGTCTCATGGAAAAGACAACTTTATGTACGCGCAACCATGAAAGAACACGTGGCAATGGTGTTTTATTATATGTTGCTTCCCTTTTGAAGTTTCAGTTGCTTGAGTTATAAATATATCCGCTTGACTTTATATATTAAAATAGGCAGGAAAATTATACTAAATACAGCATCAATAATAAAATATGAAATTGAAAAGGTTGAGCTACATTATAACTAGTTTATATTGATAAATATATTATTGTTGCTGGAATATTTACAATTTAAAAGAGCATTTAATTGCTTGTTTATGACAAGGATGAGAATGGTGTGATATGTGAAACATAATAGTGAGGAGAATAAGGTATCAAAGTAGACATTTTCCCCACTTGAATTATTATTATCAATATTAGTCTTTGGGAAAATATAGATGCAGAATGAATTAATTTTATTATAGATTTTGAGAGGTTATAAGAAGTTTCTTTCCGGCACAATCAAAATATTATCATAGCAATTCAGGTTGTCAGTAAAAGCTTAAACAAATTTGCTGATAATCCTGTTAATGACCTAGGTCAAGTGTTAACTGTTGTGGGTTATAAAATAGTGAAATTAAGGTTTCTCCTACCTCCGGGCAAATAACACAGTTATAACTGTTGGGGAGGAGGTAGGGGAGAGCTATTAAGAGAGCTATTAAATTACAAAAATGTGTAATGCATTCAATTATTTAGTCTAGCACGATGAAATGCTATTAAAAGCAAATGTAAACCCTTTTTCAAAAAAAAAGAACTACAAAGATGATATGATAGCTTAGTTCTCTATTAATGTTTCAATAACAATATATTATTATTTGAGGATGTGTTTATATATGAAAATTGATGCCAATTCATAGTAATTTTTAAAAAGAGAAAATTCCATTATTTAAATGTTTATTTTCTATAATATCTTCCTAATATTCAATCAAAAGGAAGCATATAGTGTTTATCCACAAGTCTTACTTTTAAGTTTTAATAATCACATAGTCTTCTCCAGTATTTAGATAGAAGATTTATGTTCAGTGAAATACATTTCATACAAATGGTATCCCAGGCCCTTCAAAAAAAGGTCTTCCCAAATGAGTAGTATATAAATATGCAGATCTAATTTTATTTACTTTCATCTTGAAAACTCTCATTTCCAATGTAAAGAGTTCTATGGATAAATGTCAGCCTAATTTAGAAACATTTTTAGAGAGAAAAATGATTTACTGCATTATGTACTGATGAATAAGCCACGCATTCTGCCTCAGATTCCTTCAAATATGTGTTTAAAGAGAGTACTTTATTCAATGCTCATATAAAGCAAACTAATAATAGTGAACACTTCACTTTATATCAGGTTCTAACCTCCTTTCAAAGTTTTTATTATCATCATCCACCTAGAATGGGAAATGGTAGCAAATATATAAACTTTTCTAATAATACATACTTTAAGAGTCCTATTTTGTCATGAAAAGTAGCTGATGTCGCATTGGAAATCTTTGTTTGGTGTGTCATGTAAACAAAGAAAGATAAGATTTTAATAAAAGTCTATGCAGTTTTTATAAAGTTTCTGTTTATGAATATAGGTCAATTCTTGACTTAAGTGACTGTTGAAATTATGAATGACCTATAGTATCACTGAGGAGGCCAACAATAGAAAGTATCACCTGGAATCATTTTCTTAAAAGCATATTAAAAAGTTATTTGTAGTTGGATAATAAAAGGGGAGTTCAGATTAAACTTTTTATAAGTGTTTTTCTTTATCATGAACCCATGCATTTCAATATGGATATTCAATTGTCAAAATGTCAAATTTTTAAAAAGCCACAGTGGCAAGTTTCCTAGCAGTTAACTCAATGGGCTGGTTTTGTTCTCTTATCTTTCATGGCTAACTTTATAATAGATTCCTGAATAATTGTCTAGTAAATTTTACTAGTAAATTTCTAATAAATTTCCTATAATACTGAAATATATCTTTAGCATAGTATTTTAAATGCAACCAAGTATTTTATATTTCAGTTTTCAAAATTTATATTAGAAATCAATATTAAGAAGATTTATGTTATCATTAGTCTTTCTACTCAGTCACTACATGAATTTTTAGAAGGATGGCTTTCTGTTCAAATTATATTGTTAGAAGAATTAATTACATGGGACTCTTCACACATACTTGGATGTTTTGCTTTTCATGCTCATCTCAATCACTAAGGCCCAAGTTATTGTATTAATATTTAAACCCTCCCTCAAATATTACCCAAGTTAAATCATTCCATATAAATTTTGTTTCAAAGCTTTCTTTTCTGGCCTCAAAACAGAAAGAAGACACCACCCACAAGACACAATCTGGAAAGAATAACCCCAGGAACAATGGATAGATAAACTTTTACCCAAGCAAACTAAATGCAATTATGTCATTTTTTTACTCTATACATATTGTTAATGTGGGCTTGCCTATGTAATAATATACATTATATACCCAGACATACAGAAGTTATGGCTTAAAAGTAATTTACATTTGGTTATTCTAGCTCTGTTAAATTAATATTCATTACTTTTATATAAGTGTAAATATGTTTAAAGGGTGTTTTTTCTCTTGCAAATTACTGAAAGGTTATATTTTCCACAAAACTGCTGACTCTCATCTATATCCCTATGCATTGTTAATTCAGCAAATTCCACTATCTTAATAGTTTATAAATAGTTCATTTTGAGAAATACATGATCATAGTAATATGGGGATAATATTACTATTTTTCTAGTTGTTGACAATATTTTAATATCTTCAAGGAAAATGATTAAACTAACACTAATTTTAACTTATTGATATGTTATTCACTATATAAATGACTACTCTTGCCTTTCATTCATGAAGAATGATTGACAATTACTTTCAAATAAACATTTATTTGATATTGAAAGAAAAAAGTCACTTGTAGGTAAGATGATTTCCTTTATCCTTATACTTAGAATTTTTAAGTTCTCGATTCAAAAAAGACAGAAAAATATAATGAAATCTGCCAAGTTGACAAAGGCAGCCACTAAGGAAATAACACAATTAAACTACTCTATTAGCAGTGAAAGTAGGTCACCAAATATGAGAGGTAGGTTCTATATTTAATTTAAAACTTTCAAAATATTTTGAATTTTTAAATATCAGCTTGCATACATCAGCTTGTTACATACTAAGTAATATAATATATGCACATTAATTACTCAATATTGCTAAATTGTGAAATAGATTGCTAAATGTTACAAGTTAAAATAATTAAGAGGAAATCAACCAATCAATTATTCAGAGAAGTTTGTCTTAAGAGTTAGTGATTCTATTCACAGATCATTAGAAATAGATCACAAAAGGTATAAAGGAGTAAGGCAATACATCTGTTAAGTACACAATCTTATAATATTGCTGTCCTTAATATTATAAGTTTGCACATTAATTCATCAGAAAGAGACAAGTGACAATTAAGAGGAAAATAAATAACCCAACATCAAGGAAATGCCATTTGCTGCATATGAACATTTCTTCTTAATTTTCTATTCAGTTATTACTATATCTACCCAGGATTTTCTCACCATTCATTAAATACATTCTCTTAGTCATATATAAGCCCTTAAACAAAGAAAATCCAACCTAAGCTTATTATAATTCCTGCAAATATTACTTATGTTAATGTGGCATATGCTGCTCATTAGAACCTGTACCATAGAGCAAACCATCGTCTGACGGGATACACATCACTTCAATACAGCAGTTGCAATATAAACATCTCACACACACACACACACACACACACACACACACCTCTGCTTCCACAAACTCTGATTTCCTTTCAGTCCATTCATAAATGCCAAGATCCTAAGTAGGGAAACCTGTCATTACGGTAAAACATACTAAAAAAAATCTGGAGTGGTGGGATGATTTTGTTTCCCCAAAGTTCTCGGAGTACTACATGGTCATAATTAGAAAATAAAATACTGCCATGGCTATTTAGCAACTAACATCCTGGGTTGGAAACTAGAGAATTTTTCTTTCTTTCTGCTTAAAATTTTCAAACACGGTAATTGCTTGCATTAGTATCAGATTAAAAACACATTTTAGGTTTAGGCAATCCAGAATTATCTCAACGTGTTTTAGAAGACAGCTGGAAATAAAAACACATCTTTAGTTTACTCTCAGAGCAAACGGCTTTATTTGAAGGCACCTTAACGACCCGAAAATGTTTCGGTGAGAATGTGCTTTGAGGAGCTCCAGCCCGGTGGGGCTGGGCAGGGCGCTGGGCAGGGGCGTTGTGGTACCTGGCTTACCTTCATTGGAAGGCTGGAGAATCAGTTCCCCGAAGCTGTAGAGAACAGAGCTGGTGAGAAGGAGGAGGATGGAGAGATGACAATCCATGTTGCTGGTGCAGAGGGCAGTGAGAGGAGCATATCTCCATGAAGCATGCCACTGATGTGAGGGGGAGCGCTCTGATTGCTGGAGAAGTTACCATGCTCCGCTCGCAGGCTGATGTCAAGTTTGACACTGGAGATAAGGAGGAGTCTGGCTGCCTTTCCGAGAACCTCGCTCGGGGACTTCCCTGGGTCCTAGTGCCGTCGAAAGCCAGAGCAGACGGACAGTACGAGGGGGCTCGCAAACCGCTGGGAAGCTTAGAGCTGGGGAAGAAGTGGGTGGGGTCAGGGCCGGTCCTGCCAATAGGGCAGGAAATACAAAAGTTGTGATGGGGCAGTGGTGGGGAGAGAGAAAAAGCACTCTGTCTTTATTTTCAATGAAAAGCAGCTATTTTATTGTTTGCAGTGCATACTCTGTAAGGTCAATTCACTGAAGAAACTAAAGCCCCATAGGAGTGTCACATGGCAGTATGAGTGGAAGAGAAACTGAAATGTTTGTTATTAAAAGAACGAGGCTGCCATTGAAAAGTCAATGATGACTGTATAATTCAAAGGAAAATCAGGATTATGTCTTTACTATGGTCAATATAATAATAACTCTTTATCAGTACTTTATGGTGCACCAGGACATTAACACACACCTTAGATCAGGAGGTCTTTTCAGTTTTACACAAACTCTACCAGGGCTTTTACATAGATTTGCTGGCACAGCGATTTCAGTGCACAAACTGTGCACTTTGTTTTTCCAAACTAGGAAGTAAGCCTTACCCTAAGGAAGTGGAAGTGAACAAATGCAGCCTAGGAATAGCTGCAGGTCAGCCTTCATCCTTTGTTCTGTGCTGTGGGCGTAAATAAGAGTAATACAAACCAAAACTAAGGTCCTTGGCAACACATCACTACCCCCTCCCTCACCATCTACATTAGGAGTCTGGTATCTGTGAAATAAACATTGAGTATTTCACATCTCCTCATTCAGCTTTCAGCCACTTCCAATCTGATAATAGTTGGAAACTGTTCTTCGTTAACATTCCCATCCAGTGGTTAAATCATAGTGTCCTTGCACTTTCTCACTTACTTGGCACTGTGGTTAGCCATGGTGTCTCTTATCTCCAGTTCCCCTGTTGAACAACATGGTTGCAATCTATTTCAGCAAAATAATTTTGCAATTCATATTTTGAAAACTATTCTCACTTGTCTTTAAAGCATCCCCCAAAAGATGATAACTCAAATATCCTCCCACTCATCTATCATTTCCTATTCTAAACAAAAAAAAAAAAAACAAGACTTATACATTCCTTGAATAACTCCAGAAAAGTAAAGGCAAGTAAACAACTTCAAGGTCTTTGATCAGTTTTATAGCTCTAAGCTGTGGCATCTAAAATAAGGGTTTGAAAATGTCTCCCTGACAATGTCTTCATTTCACAAACACTGTGTTTGTAATGAAAGAACACATTTTCACATGAATTTAAATTAGCAATGTCTGATAACAGTTTGAATGGCTGGGGTTTGGGAGGGAAGGTAGAGGAAGCCAGAGGAAAAGAGTGACCCTGCTCACGTTTCTATGTATGCCTGGTTGCTTGGTATCTCTAACTTCTTCCCACATTATGTCACTGGAGGCTGTAGAACCCTCCTTCACTTGCCAAGTCTGTCAGAACTGAAAACACTGACAGATACTGAACAGAGGACTGAGATAGTGGTGACTCTGGCATTTTTAAAAATTCCAGCCCAACTGTAGTCTTTCTGTAAGGTACAGTCCCATTGTTTCAGGGTTAGATAAAATTTTTCTGAAACTTGAAAGAAAATATCTTATTTGGAAGTGACAATTTAAAAATATTTTGGAAAAACACGCACTGGTTTTTCATCCAACTAGTCTTTTCACACTGATGCTGCTTGTCACCGTGGAAAGAGGCATTCATGTTTGCAGGAAGCTGCAAAAGTGTGACAATTAGTAAAAAGTGACTCCTCAGTTATGGACTCTCTAGGTCAAGATACATTAGACAATAAATAGTTTCCATAATCCAAGCAACATTCTGAGGATATATGAAGAAGAGTGATACCAAGAAACAAAAGGGAGCAATGAATTTGGCCAAATTAGGAGTAGGAGTAGGAAGGATAGAGGTGAGGACAGACAATTCAGAAAAGGCCTCAACAAGAAAGAAATAATTGAGTTGTAGCTGGTAAGATGAATAGGGGTTCACTAGCTAGAGAATGGTTCAGAAGGCACTATAGGTATGCAGATGGAACACAAACAAAATCCTAATAATTTCCAAGTGAGGGGGACCAGAGCATCTGGCAGAAATAGAGCACCGAGTGTGTGTGATAAAAAAAGGGCCAGGACACAAGGAGGTGAGCCATGGGGACAGAAGGCTAGGAGATGTTCTTCAAAGAGCAGATTTGGAAACTGTAGAAATTTCTATGCCACATGACAGTGATTTTACAATATATTCCAGATGAAAGAGAGACATCAAAAGCATTTCAGCAAGTAATAACTTGATCAATTATAAGTTTTATGAAGAAATTTTACTGATAACACAAAGCAGAGTGACTCCACCTGTGGTATATGGATCACCTGCCATTGAAGTACCTGGAATACCTATTAAAAGTGTATATGCCTTCTACCCACCAAAGACTTACTAAATCTGAATCTCTGAGGTTGAGACCCATAAAATCTGCAACATTGGCAAGGTGCTCAGGTAACCTATCTTCCCAGACATTTCAGAACCACTGTTGAGGGCAAAGGAGGGAAAAATCAAAGTCAGGATGGTGAGATTTGAGACTATTTTTGAAGTAAAACTAAAGCAATAAAAAATTAAATAAGAATCCATCTAACAGAAAGAAGGAAAATACAAAATGAAATTAAGATACATATTTGAGGTGAAATAATATCTCCAAAAAAATTGGATTTGGGGTTGAAGAAGAGGAGATGACTAAGACATTTGCAATATTTGGTTCATATAATATTTTAGTTCAACAGAATGTGTGTCAAATGTATGCCTGATCATGTGCTAGACACTGAGGGTAAAAACATGAATAAGACATTTGAAAATAGGTCTTTCCCTTGAAAATAATGTAGAATCACATGGAGAAATTATGGCAACTGTTAAATAGAGGTATATATAGAGTATTTCATAGTATGGGCAAGGGGATAGCTAACTTAAGTTAGAGGTTACAGGATACTTTTTGTAGTAGATGATAACTGAATGATACCTAGAAAGATGTCTTGTAATGAAAGAGTTCTGAGAAGATAAAATAAACATGAAAAGCATACTTTCTGGAGGAAATAACAAATGCCTCTATTACTAAAGCATCAATTTTGACATAGTTTCAGGTAGTATGTGTAAAAGGTGACACGAGGAGGATGCACAGTTATGAATAATTCAGTGAGCTCTTCTAAGGAGCTTAGACCACAGGGTGACATGGGGCATAAGACAGGCATTCAATTTCCATTTTTAAAAAGATAATTTTGACATAATTAAGGGGAAGGGATGAAATGGAAGCAAGAACATCAATTAGGAACCAAGACCCAATTCGGATCCTTTTGCAATAGGATAGCCAATACGATATAGAGGTATAAGTGGAGGCCTTGAATCAGAATGACCTAGGAGGCTTCCCTTGTTCTGTTACTCTTCATACAATTCAAATAATAATAGATCCTATCTCATATGTATATTATAAGGATGGTATGAGAATTGGTATGGTACAGATAAAGTATAAGCCTATATTAAAGTATTCAATACACTTTTATCCTGATCTAGAAGAGATCCAGAGGTGATGATACTGAGCAGTGGCAGTAGAACTACAAATCATACAAATATATATCTGAAGAATTGGCAAAATTTTATTAGAGCTTAATTGTGAAAATGAGGTAGGTGGATATGTCTAGGAGGCCTTTCAACTTTTGGCTTGGTCAAAGAGTAGTCAAAAATGCAGGAGAGGTTTGAAGAGAGGAAACAGGTGTGAGACACAAAAATTTCTGTTTTAGGTATATCTACTTGATGTGATCTGAGGGAAAGACAAAGTAGATGAACTATTAGGAAACAAAGATCTTGACTGGAGTTGTTTCTTGGAAAATAATTTTCTTTGCAAATTATTAGTATGTAAAAAAATAAGTAGGTTCATTCACATAATCAAAGTGTTGACTGAAATGTCCATGGCCAAGGTTGGAACTCTAACATATACGAATACTCAAAAGATGCAGAAACAGAGAAAAGCAAAGTACTAGAAGAGATTAGCATAACAGAAACCAAACAGTTCATAGTCAACAGTACCTGCAATAAAAATATTCAATAAGATACTGACTAAATGTGCCAGTTATATTTGATGACTGAAAATTTTGATGACTTTGATGAGAACAGTTTTAGTGGAGTAATTGAGCTGCAAGTAGAATTAAGATAATGGAGTAAATGGAAAGTAAGAAAGTAGAAACAGTAAATGTACTACTCTTTCAAAAAGGGAAGCTTAAAGAAGAAGACAAGCTTAGAAATGGAGAAAGCAAGGTGTAAACATCAAAACATGATAGAGCCTTATAAGACTTCTCTCTCATGTGGTTTGCTGACTAATTATGCGACTGATGGACAAGAAATTTAGTCAAATCTGGGATGTGGAGGAAAGATGGGAAAACAATGACTTCTGTTTAGGGCACACTGAGATGCAAGTGCAGACGTTCCAGTGAGTAGTTAGGTATAAAATGAGAAGCCAAGAAGGGAAGGCAGGTTAGAAACTGAAAGTTAAGCAATCATTAGAAAATTGATGGCAGCTTGATTCATTGGAGTAGATAAAATTAACCAGAAAGATCAGAAACAGTGAGAGAAATATCAATTCTGTTAAGTAAAATATTTGAAATGCAGAGGATGCATTATTATCAGAATTAATTGAGTAGGGGTAAATATTACAAAAGAAAGGTAAACAGAGAGTGAATCACAAATGACAAGAGAGAGATGAAATTTTCAGGAAGGAATCAATCAACCAAAATTAATTAATTAATTAATTAATTAATTAATTAAAAGTAGAGTTTGAGGAAAATTGAAAACAAATAGTTTTTCCCAGTTAATGGAAAGATCACAAGGCTGGGAATCCCTTCCCAGAACA